AAAAGATAAAGATAAAGATAAAGATAAAGATAAAGATAAAGATAAAGATAAAGATAAAGATAAAGATAAAGATAAAGATAAAGATAAAGATAAAGATAAAGATAAAGATAAAGATAAAGATAAAGATAAAGATAAAGATAAAGATAAAGAACCCCAACTCACCTCATTTCACTTCTACTCACCTCACTTGAACATACCTCATCTCCCCTCAACTTACCCCACCTTAACGCACCTTACTTCCATTCACCTCACATAAAAATAAAACTCACCCCAACTTACGTTATTTCACCTCATCTCATCTCAGCTTAACAAAATATATAACAAATAAATTTTAGTTCTGAATTGATGGGCCCAGGTGCACTTTTTTAAATTAACGATTTATATTCTAATTTGTTCGCATCTTCGTTGAGTAACGAATTGACTCACAATTAAAAATTATCTTTACATAAGCGCATTGTCAAGAGCAGTTTGGTTTACTTACCGAAATATTTGAGTTTCTTTCATACTTCGGTGCCACATTAGCCGTCGATAAGTTGTATTTTGAGCGGTCAGCTTTCGGTAAAGGACGAGCATAAACATAGCTGCTATACATATCATCAGACGAGGGTTGCTGAGTAGCGGTTGGCATACCCAAAATGGGCGCATGAGTAAGCCTCATTACAATGTCTTTCGGCTGGGCGTACGCTGAGGACATGTTTGTTCCACGATTCAATCGTCGCTGCTGTTCTAGCATTCTATCGCGTTCCCGCTCTCGGTCATAATCAAATGAATTGCAGTGCGGTAGACCATGTAGTTGCGCGTGGAAGTCATGCGAGGTTAGCGGAGCACGATCATCAAATTCAATTAACTGCTGATCTGGTGGAAAGGATCGTTGTCGGTATGTTTGAAAATCTTTACCGCCAGCTACAACAGACGATTGACGCATTGGCTGCAATGGCGGTTGATGGTAATTGCAATTGTGTGATTTCGACACGGAAGCATAAACGCTGTTGTCTGTATTATTGTAGGGATCTCCTTTAACGCCATTGCACGTGGCATTAGGAGTCGCGTAATGCGAATTTAGTTGATTTGAAATGTTGTAAGGGAGTGGATAACGATTGCCTGAAACGTTGTAGGGATGACAGTAAGCGGCATTTATTCCACAGTTATTAATACCATTATTGGAACCGCCACCGGACGCAACCACAGCTGCATAGGAAATGCTACTACCGCCCATACTTGCGCCATCCAGGCAATCATAAGGTAATTCGTAGACGTGCTGCGATGGCAACTGGTGTGGGAGTTTGTAATGATGTGCGGTGCAACCTTTCTGCTGATGATCAAATGAATGTCTATGTGGCAATTGCGGCACAGCTTCACTATAATGCTCCAAGCTTCGTGAGTGTTGCATGCCTGCAGGGGATACTCCATACGCAGCGGGCTGCGAGTGTTGGTATCCTGATATTGGGTAAGAAGGCATTTTGCTTTTCCCATTGTATAAATGATTTGGCACTGTTGTCGATGCTGGGGCATGAAGAGCACATGTGCCATAGTTGTCCGTATGCCTAGGGTATTGCGGATGCGATGGCATACGATTATAAAGAGCACAATTCGGACACTCCGAAGTTGTCGGAGTGATATTTAAAGTTTGTGATGAATGTTGCAAGCTAGCGTAACAATTATCTGCAAACCAAATAGGAAACGATATATATTTTCGATAAAATAATACTAATTACACCATACTCACCAACATTTATAAGTTTTTCCTTTCGCAGCCGCTTTTCTTGAATAGCATAAGCCAAACCTTTGATTGCTTGTGTGGATCCGCCTTAAAAGAATGAATTACTGGTTATTGAAAAGTTCGATGACACTGAATATACGCCATAATATAAAAAGCTTTGTTTATATTTACCAACAAATTTCTCTCGAAAACTAAAAACATCTTGCCAAGAACATGTCAGCCCTAGTGCAATCAATCCTGCGTAAATATGTTCCATTATTTGGCACTCAACATAAGCCGCCATTGCATCGCGCGATACGTTTGTTACTTGATCGGGGCAGATAGGACCATCTAGTAGAAGAATTTCATCAGAAACCTGTCTGTAGCCCATAGCCTCGAAAAGTTTTTCAGCATCAAACAAATTTGATTTAATTTCATGCTGATAGAAACCGGAATACATCTGAAAATAAGCAATTTGAATAAATCCTTTACGATTATTCCTTTCAAGTTCATTCAAAACGAACCTTTAACACTCTAAACTCTTTTCGCCAAGGTTTTGTAAACAAGTTATTTGCATAGTGACTGATGGAACGAAAGCCAATGATTGCTTTATACGCATTAAACTCTTCCATTTCCCGTATCGATTTCCTGAGAACGTGAGCAGTCTCGGGAAGAAAAAATTTACGATCATGAGGCACAATGCAAAGAAACTCCTTAAGGCAATCTAGATCCCAAGAAAAATTATTCCTTTTATAATAGCTTTTTAAATAAATGTGAATAATATATACTCTCTAATTTTTTTCCTTCCTCAATCTTTTGAATGCTTCCGTCTGTTTCCAAATATGTCCAGTGACGTTTAAGGATCTCCTCCCACAGGTCGGGAAGCATATCTCGAGGCATAAAGTCCGACATTGTTATACTTTACGTGTTCGTTTGCCAAAAAGTCTGAAATATTAAGTAAAATGTTGAGAAAGTACAAAATTTAAAGTCAGTTTTATAATCTACTTGAATTTAAAGGGCGATCTCCCAAATTAAAGAATAAGAGTACTCGCTTTGAGGAGATCTAGTAGCAATAAACGAGTGTTTTCGGTGTCGTACTCCATTATTTCTAGCTTAGGAGCAAAAACGGACGGATCCCAAGCGCATAATAAAACAATGCTGCTTAAGATATGATTTAGGACAATATTGTGCTAGTTTGATCGTGTTGATTTTTAATATTTTTTCTTCTGAAGGTGTTACGCATTTTCTATAATACAATGTATGTATTTCGCTAATATTTTTATAGGAAAGAAAATGTAGAACGCCCTCGGCAAAAAAAATCTCAAAAACTAAAGCGGATTTTAGAAATCTTTCGATAATAATAATATATTTGGCGCTCAACTAGTTTTGTATAAAGTTTGAAAATCGAATTTAGATGTTTTTTGTTATAGAAAATGATGTACTTTTATAAACAAGTAGTTTTTAAGCAAAAAACAAAATCGACTTCAATTCTCATATAAGAATTTAAGAGTACCGTTACTTTTTTCATGATCCAATGATTTGATCTAAACCAAATTAGTATGGGACCACCTCTGAGGTACCAACAGAAAAGAATTATGGAAATCGGTTAACGTGGTCCAAAGTTATGCGGTAACATACAAAAAAAAAATTAAAATATTCCGACGAATTGACAACCTTCTCATTTCTTTGAAGCCGGTTAAAACTGAATGAATGTTAAATACTTAAACTAAAGGAAAACTGTCAACGAATCTCACAAATGAATATACATTTACCCCTCTATTCTAACAGAGTCACAAAACTTAGCTCTTCACTGTTGTGATTTCTAGTACGCCGCAAAATGTATCATAAAAGTTCAATTTTAAGTGCTAGAAAAATTCACAACAACTTAATAATTTATTTTGTAGCGGCATATTTGTTGCAGCGGCAAACTTTGAAGCAGTGGTGAGCTAAGGTTTGTGACTTCGTTTGAAAACGGCTGTTATTGTTAACTTTTTAGTTTCTAAAATATTGAATTTGTTTACTTTTATTTTTTAACCGACTTCCAAAAAAGGACGAGGTTTTCAGTTCGTCGGAATATAGTTATATATTTTTATGTATGTTACCGCATAACTTTGGACCACGTCAACCGATTTCGATAATTCTTTTTGCATCGGAAAAGTAGTGTCTCAGAGGTGGTACCATACTAATCTAGTTTAGATCCGATCATTGGATCATGAGATATATATATATATATATATATATATATTTTATATGAGAATTGAAGTCAGTTTTTTTTGCTAAAAATTAAATGTTGTTTCACTTTTTAGTATGGCTAGGAACTCCATCCGGAATTTTTGACTATACGGATGATCTATATATTCGAATATCTAAATAAAAAATTAAAATATTCGGATATCCGAACAGTGTGCTGATATTTTCATATCCGAATAGTGAGATATCCGTATATCCGGATTTAAGTATTAGTAAATTTACCTTTCCCCCTTTTTGTAATAAGTTGTTACGAAATTTCATCATTAGAGACATAAATGCAATTTTTAGCATCCATGAAATCTCGGACGAAGATAGAAATTCGTTTCGTTAAAAATTAAGAAGATTTACGCTAATGCGTATTTGCATATTTTGCAATCGTATGTATGCATATGTTTATTTATAGTGTACATGTGCTCTTTACGATCAAATCGTGCAATTTTAGCTACATAAGTGCTTAACAGGGTTTGTTACGAATATTCGAACTCGCATTCACAAACGCGGAGCTTCCGCATTAATTTTAACATTCGCAATAATCAATGCGAATCTTTTGCGAATGCGAATGTTGTGCAAGTGCACCGATAAAACGTATATCTGGCAAACAAAATGATAATTTGTAGCCAATATTTTTTACCTTTGGTCGTGGGAATCCACTTTGATAAAAATGTATTTAAACATATTATTTCTTAAGCTATATAACCGAGCTATCAATGGGCAGTCATATAAGTTCCCACTTCTACTTGACCTTTGACTTACGTCAAAGAGAACATAATCCTATTAACAATATTTTTTTTTCCGTGCTTTAAATACCTGCATTTCTTTCTTTATTATGATTTTTTTGGACCAATCTTAAAAAAAAAAACTACTAGACGCAAAAGAAGAAAGTGTGCACTGTATATTCGTTTCAATAATTTCAAATGGGGCTCTTTGAGGAATTTATTTTTACTTGTCGGGCAATATTTTTTTATGGGGATATACATTGGATCCTTGGCTAAAAACTTCTGTGGTAAAATTGCCCCTTTGTAATTTAAAGACAAAGAGTAAGCTCCTTCAATAGGGATTTCCAACAGAAATGTTCAACGTCTGGCTATGAAGAGAATCCATGCTCAAATAATTAAAAGGCTATAGGTCTGACCTTTAATTATATAAGAATTACGTAACTATCTGAGATTCAAATATGTACTTATAAAAAAACGGGGTGCTTCTTTTTAAATAAGAATATTCTGATCCGACTTTGAAACAGAATTTTGTTCAAAATTTTCATTTCTGGAAAATAATAATTTTACAAAAACTAAAATCGAAAAACTCTGATGGAGTTACAGATTACCCAAATTCTGAAACAGCCAAAGGGATGAGAATTAAGAATTCTTTTTAAAAAGCTTTAGGAAAACCTGACACATCTGGTTTGGCTTGTAAGCGCTGTTTAAACAACGATATCGCCATTAAACTAGATTATAATTGTTTCTTAAAAATACTTGACATCTGCTCTGTTTCTTAAAAATACCGCATCCGCGGATGTTAGCTGTTAGATATTCGTATCCGCATTCGCATCCGCGGATGTCGAAAATTCCACATTCACAACATCCCTAGTGCTTACCTATCTATTGATATTTTTATTTTTACTGCAATTGAATAATTACAAACCGTTCATCCTGAGCTATAACAATGGTTTAGTACAACATAGAAATAATTATCAGTTTTTTGTTATTATTACATTTTTTACGATTCAATAAAAGATATTTCGGACTGTGCAGGATCCCTTTAAAATGTCCCTGGAGACTATTCTGAAGACCACTGTATTTCAATGTGATTGCTCCAATAATTTTGGAACAAATTTATTATTGCTCTACTCACTTCTGGTAAAGTAGAGAAATATTTTGTTCATCATTTAAATAAATTTTTAATAATAAAGGGTGGGTTGAGTGGGGTTATTATAGCTGGCTGACCGCTCCACAAAGAGCCCTAGTGATGGAGATAGAGGTTTAGTTAAGTAAATTCCAAGCATGCATCATTTAGGATGTCAACGCTTTTTGAGAATTTTAGTAGTGCTTGAAGCCCAAGTGTTGTCACGTCTTCAAGATTATTAAACTCTAAAGCTCCAAGACATTTCAATAGTTTTTTTTTGATAGCAGGACAATGGCATACGATGTGTTCAAGGGTCGCTCTTGTTGCCGTCCCCATGCATTTCCTGTAAACTTCACTAACAGCAATCTCCATTTTGCTTGCGTGCGCTGCCAACATGTTATGTCCTGTTATGACACCTATCATACGTCTCTTTGTGTCCAGTTTTCTAGCCTGCACATGACGTTAGACATTGGACAGGTGTTTAGCGCATTCCATCTCGATATAGTCTGCTTTCTCATCCGCTGTTCTATTTCGTTATAACGATTTTTTAGAGGTTTCAGAATGTTATTCTCTTGTTCTAGAACCAAGTGGATTCCGCTCATGGCAATCTCATCTACAATTTTGTTACCTGTAATGTCCTTGCCGGGGTTCCAATAAAAATGAAGTCGCCTGTTTGCTGCTGCCCTATTTATGGCATCCCTGCTTCTAAGGGCATTTTGTGACGTAAATTGGTATGAGCTGATAGCTTTACGCCGTGTCCAGCGTAGACACGAGAAATTCGGGGCGGGCGGTGCGGTGCGTTAAATGCGGGCAGATTACAAAACCAAACATATATTGGCAAATGTAGATGTCCAACATAGGCACGATTTTGCGTAATGCGTGCATTGCGACGTCCCCGCATCGCACGCATCAAACTCGTTTGATTTTCCCCGCAGTATCGTGCAAGAGATTTAGCAGTGAAGATGGAAATTCTTATATCAGAAATACATTTCAAAATGTAAATGAACAACTACAAAATTAAACTTAAAAAAATTCAATATTTGTGTTTTAATTACCCCAAAGTTAGAAAAAGCCTCTCTTCAACGGATATAAGCGGATATAAAGGATAAAGTTTGTTGTGCTTTTTTCAGTACAATGGTAAAAGTACAATTTGCCGATTTTAAGTAAAATTTCAACATCAAAAATACTTGTTCTACCAAACGCTCAGATCTCTTCTAGTACTTTTATTCTTAATCCGTTTACATTTAAGTAACGTTTAAGTATTTGCTACAAAACGAAATTAAGAATTGTAATTTTGGATGTAAACGTGATTTTGAATAGTAATGTTAGCGTTGTGCGTTATGGTGATTGCGAATTCTTATTACCGGCGGCTGAAATATCCCTCCTAGCTATAGAAGTAATTGAGCAATTCGGGGGTTGAAAGTAAAAAAATGTATGTAAATTTCATGCGTTGAAATTAAAAATTTCTATTGAGGATTTCCTTTTTATCGATAGTGATCTCATTTTATATGATTTATTTTCATTAATATGAACTGACCTATATAGTGTATTAATTTTTATAGCCGAGCGCACTTGCGCACAAGGGTATATTAATTTTGTTCACATAACGGTTGTTTGTAACAGCCAAAACGAATCGAGATAGATATAGACAACAGTATACATAAATGCTCAGAATGAATAGAGAAGTCGATTAAGGCATGCCTGTCTGTCCGTCCGTCTGTCCGTCTGTCCGTCCGTCCGTCCGTCCGTGTACACGATAACTCGAGCAAAAATTGAGATATCTCAACGAAATTTGGTATGTAGGTTTCTATTAACCATTCTATTAACTGTAACCACGTCCACTTCCCATATAACGGTAATTTCCAGAAATACGAAAACTGCGATATTTTAGTAACTACTGAAGACAATTCACTCAAAATTGATATTTACAATAATTTTCAGACGAAAAATAAGAATATTATAAATTTTTGGCAAATGGGCGCCCACTTATGGTAACATGTGTATATCTTGGTAACCGCTACACGAATTTCTCCCAAACTTGGCACAGTTGTTGGCCTTGGTACAGCATACTAAATGGCCGAAAATTAAAAAAATCGGACAATAACCACGCCCACATCCCATATAACGGTAATTGAGAGAAATACAAAATCTTCGATAAATCAGTAAATATTAAAGCTAATTTATTCAAAATTGATGCTTGCAACAATTCTTTACCAAAAAATACGTTTATGGTAAAATTTTGGAAAATGGTCGTGGCACCGCCCACTCAACACACAACAACTCAAAATAATACGTTCGTCAGAAAATGCGAAAAACTATTTCGTAGCACATACTAATCATATGGGCAGGGCGACTTTACCTTAGGTTTTTTAACAAATTATAACAAAAATTTGCTCCAGCTTTTGCTGAAAGGTAAATAAAAGCTCTGTGTACATTTTTAGTGCATAATTTCAAAAATGCCAAACTTTGAGCTGTGACTCTTTTGAAGACGGTGTGCGATATGTATCTCGGTAACCGTTCTACCAATTTGTGCCAAACTCGGTACAGTTATTGTGCTTGCCACATAAAAGCAAAACGTTGAAAATTATTGAAATCGGACTAAATTTACGGCCGCTTTTCATATAACGGTAAATTTCACCAATCCTTGAAACTGCCATATTTCGAAATCTAAGGACGCTAATTTACTCTAAGTTAATACACCCCGTCTTACCATCTAGCGGTAGGTTTCGGAAAGGTGAAAAAACATATATTAAATACTTGCGCCGGGTATTTAATGTTCGGCTCCGCCCGAACTTAGACTTTCTTACCTGTTTATTTTGAAATAAAAAAATATTTAGAGGTCGCTCAAAGTTTTTCGTGTATTTTTATATGGGAAAAATAAAATTTTTCGTAGAAATGGTACAGAATTCTTGAAAATCAATATTTTTCGATCGGAAAACTCTGGTTCTCTTCAGGAGACTTTTAATAATAATACTCAACCCAACCATTTTTAATATTATCGATTTTTTATTGGTCGCCCGCTTGCGATGAAAAAATGATTAAATAAACAGTTGGGTATTATTATTGGGAATCTCCTGCAGATAAACAGAGTTTCCTGGTAGAAAAATATTGATTTTTAACTATTCTATACCATTTCTATGAAAAGTTGTTTTTCCCCCATATAAAATATATGGAAAACTTTGGGCGATTTGAGCGACCGCTAAATATTTTTTGGTTTCAAAATAAAAAAAATTACGCAATACTATTTTTCGGTATAGAACAATCCTAGGGGGTGAGAGCATAACAATTCCGACTTTACTTTTTTACATGCATTTTCGGACCACCCCAATGTACAATGTATGAAGTATGTGTGGGTTAGGTTCCGAAAAGTATCAGTTTGTTCGAGGCTGGTACAAAAAAATGAAGGCGGCGTGCCACCACCGACCTTTACAGCTTGAAAGACCAAATACCAAGGAATTCAATGGTATGCTTTTCTTTCTCCTCCGACTACGGGGCTCCTCGGGCGAGCCTATTCAAAATGGGGAAAACATCGTTGCTTTTGCTCACAAAATGCCACAACTGTTTAAAACACAAAAAAAAAAAATTAATTGCTCGGATTTAGTTACTTATTAAACGTAGATGCAATATAGCACTTTGACTAGTTACTTTTAATAACAAATAGCCAAAACACGAATTAGAATAAAACAAGCAAGTTGAATTAAATAGCTATTGTAGTAGTTGCCAATCCACCAATATTCACAAAATTACAATCAGGTTAGACTAAGCCTTTTAAATAGTACATTTTCTTACTCATAACATAAAACCCAAAACACTCTACTTTAAAAACGTGCTTAAAGGATTTAATAAAAAGTGTTTAAGAATGAAAGATTTGATTTAAAGGCAAAAGAGGAAAAAAGTGTAGCATAGCGACTCCGGAAAATATGAAATAGTGGGTATGGTCCTCCTTTTCTTCCTGATATGAAAATTTTAAAATCTTAAAATAACTATATTTCGTAAAATACTGCACTGATTTTTACGAAATTAGTAACTGTGCAGGTGCCTTTCGTATGATATGCATACCCGGTTTGAAAGTAAGTCAGTTAAAAGAACAAAATTACCTAGCATTTTATATACAATCTGGGCATAGGTGCAGTATAGCTACGGTGACCATATTAACCAATGTACAATAAAGGACATCGTATGATAAAAGTACCTTACCCATATCGTAATTTAAATCAAATATTTACCAGTTAATTAACCAATTCCGAAACATGAAGCCAAATCCTTTTCAAGGACTTCGCCATCCTTTGCTGCCAAAATACATTTACAATAATTCATACTGCATGCCGAAGTCAGCACACAGTAGTTCAAAATTGAAATTTAATGTTCATAATTCACCGCAGCCTTCATTTTTCAACCAATTTTTACTAAAAACCAAAAAAAAAATATATTTTTGTGAACCTTTTTTATAACATTTCAAACATTTTTGTAATTTTTTCGTTTTGGGGAACCATACAATTGTTTTTAACTAGTATTTGTTATGTAACATTTATTAACTGGAACAGGAGAATACATTTTCTTCAAAATTGCCACTTTTTGATTGAGAGATGAGTGTTTGTGTCAGTGGTAAACACCGTACATGACACTTGGTGACGGTTATTTTCGATCTCTGCCTATGACCATAAGAGATATTATTAAGTTCTCTGAGCAAATTAAATTATTATTTCCTATTGAAGATTTGGTAAGATATTTCAAAAAGCATAAGTTTTAAACTTTAAAATGTGCGCATGTCTAAACATACTAACTAATTATTTTTATTTTTATACAGAGATATTATTGCCACCGACGCAGCGGGAAAATCCCACTGGAAAATTACACGACAAAGCAACAAATGTTCGTCGAAAAATCAAAAGGAGTTCGCAAGCCACGGATCCTGGAATCGATACAAAAACATGTCAAATAAACGAATAATCAAAAACGCTACCTAAAGGTATCAATTATGTGTTATGCATGGTTATATACATACAGTGGCGAAAATATAAACAGGGAAGAGACATTTTAGCATTATTTGGCTGTTTCCCTTTCGTTTATTTTATCTTATAAGTCCACTTCTAAAAAAAATTAATGAATGGTAATGTTAGTAAAATACAGATATTCTATTACTAAAATTAGCTTTAAACAATTTTTTTCAAAAACTGGACTTATATATTTAATTATATGAGCACAAGTGTATATTCATCTCAAGATTTTATTCCGTAACTATTTGATCGTCTTAAAAATTTTCAATTTTCAAATTTGGCGATGATGCATTGGAAAAAAGTGTGGCAAAATTTGGAACCATGGAGTATTGTAGAGCAAACATGGAGACACAATTTCTTTAAGAATGGAAGACGTTGAATGACCACTTTTTAAGCATTCAGTTGGTTATTCTTTGGTTAGAAAAATTACATTTTTTTTTACATACATACATGTGTATTAAACATCTTTTTTCTATATACATATAGATTGAAATTGACTTCGAAGCAAAATTCCCAAAAAAATCACAAAGCTTGTTGAATGGATGGCTTAATTTTATGAAGAATATATGTAAGTAGTTCCATATATGAAGGGGAAAAACATGTTTGCTGAAATTGAAAAAAAACCAAATTCCGGTAATTAAATATTTTGTTATACAGCCCGCGACAAAACGATGACATCTCAACATACTAGCAGACCCGGCGAACTTCGTCCCGCCCAAAATTAGTTTTTTTTTTACTGAAATATTTTGGTGCAACATTTTTTTTTACTGAAATATTTTGGTGCAACATTTTCACCAACAATTCACGTTCACGATTTCCGGTGATACATTTATCTGCTAATATTACGGTTTGGTGGTTGTCAGAAGGGATATTTCCATTATCGTCTTTATCCAGCAAACACAGTCTCTAACGTTAGAGAAATTTGGATTTCTACATTAGATAGCTAGGGTAATTCTCTAATCGTTCTCAAGTCGATGACGAAGTTAGAGAACTACATTAGAATTCGATTCGAGAACGATTAGAGAAACAACGCAAATTCAAACAAATGTAAATAAGCAATATTCCAAATGAATGAATCATAAATAATGTTTAAGTTCAAATAATTCATTATTATTTTATTTCAAATGCATTCAAAACAAATTTTACAAACAATGCGTGTTATTTATTAGCAAGAGAGCAGTTTGAAATTCACATTCGAATCCCATTAGAGATCAACATTAGAATTCGATTAGAGAATTAATATTTTCTTATAGTCGAAAACTATGTTCCATTTTTGTTGAGTCCGCTATGATTCTCGAAATTTTTTCGAGTCTTTCTCTAACGTTTGAGATTGGAGAATGTAGCTTGTTCTTCAATTATTCTCTAATCGATAACTTACCTAAATGTTTGTTGGGTAACAATCTAACGAAAGTGTATGTTCGTGAAGAAGTTCTTGAAAATTCTCCAATGATCTGGCGTTTCACAGCATGATGGTGAAGCTGTCCTTGAAACTGTATGGTATAGTTGGTGGCAATTTAAAAATTGGTGAGTATCGTTGTATTACAGAAATCCAATATACACAGACTTATTTTGCAAATTTTTTT